TCTTCTATCTTCTCTCTTTCTTTCTCTTCTCGCTCTCTCTCTCTCTCTCATCTCTCTCTCTCTCTCTCTTGTCTCCATCTCTTTCCTCTCTTTCTCTCTCTCTCTCTTCTTCGTCTTTCTCTCTCTCTCTCCTGATCATCTCTTCCCTCCCTCCCTCCCTCCCTCCTCCTCTCCTCTCTCCTCTCTCTCTCTCTCGCCTTCTCCTCCTCTCTCATTCTTCCTCGCATTCTCACCCTCTTCCTCCCTATCATTCTCTTCTCTCCCTCTTCTCCCCTCCCTTTCCCTCTCTCCCATTCCCTCCAGCCTCTCACTTCGCTCCTTCCGCTCCCTTCGCGCAAAACAAAGTTCACCAAGCGGCCCCATCCTTATAGCGTGATCCCTCCCTGGAAGACCACTCTCAGCGCTGCCTGGTTCGTTTGTTTTTGTTTTCCCGCTGTATGATGAACGACCTTCTTTGAACAAATAGAAATGACTTTCGGGCGGGCGGGGGTTTTGGTATGAACACTTTGATAGGTCGACCCATACTTTTTGCGGGCCGTGGACAGCATCTCTAGTCCGGGCGTGGTCGGCTGTTAAGGAGTGGGCGGTAAGGGCGGCTTTGGGGCCCTCATTGTTGGTGTAAGGGACTTTGATCGACTTAACCGGCGCGTTATTAGGGGATGTCCTTGTGTTGGGTTTTGAGGCCGTTGCTTTTTCATTAATTCGGCGGGACATAAAGGTGATCGCGGTTAGTGATATGGGTGGCTTTGTTTAGCGGGTGAAGGGGTTGGTGTCGGCATAGAGGGTGTCCACATCAGAGGGTGGTAATACAGGAAGACGAGAAAGTCAAGGAGAAACTTGTAGGATTGTAAAGTAAGACCGCACAGAGGGTACGGTATGCGGGAGCGTGCTAGAACGGAGGTGAAGCAGGATGTGCGGCGTGAGCTTGGCCTCGTAGGACGGTTAAATTTGTTTGAAGTTTATACTAAAATTTTTTTTCTTTTCTTTTCGCTATTTTATCAATAGAGTTATATATAAAAAAAAGATAACTCCTTGCGCTGATCATTTGACGGCATCCAATATTGAATATCTAGAATCTATCTCCTCACCATAATGATTTTATTCTATCTATTCTAAGTAAAGAAGATAAGCCAGATTCCGGGCGAAATGATAGTGTTTGTCAATTAGTAAGAGTATTATAAAAATTGACAGTATAATTAGGGCTAAAGCAGTAATAGCAAGCAGTAAAAGGGTAGTTGTAGTTTAAGAGTTGAATGAATAGAGGCCGTAGTGAGTAATAAGTGAAGAATGATAACTATTTACTACTTTACTACTCTCTTATATAAATGATAATGATTGGGGTATATTAGAACGAACAAGAATACGGAAGTAACACGGGGTAAGGTTAATAATCATATTAAAATAAAATTAAGTATAGAAAGTAGCAGTAACTGATAGAAATTAAACATAATAGATAATATTTTTGAATGAATGATTGTACAATTATATAGTAAATAATCAATAGTAACGTATACAAGTTAAAGTAATTAGAATAGAAAGTAAAACAAAAATATCGAACACATAGAAAAATGAATTTACCGCGCTGCTGGCCTCCCCTCCATGCGGCTCTCTTCCTCTGTAACGGTGTGAACGTGCATATCTGACATAATAATCTTCTCTGATTACCGCATGGCCAGATAATAACGATGTTGAAAAGAAGAGAGAGAGAGAGTTAGAGACAGAGAGAAGAGAGTTAGAGATGAGTAGAGAGTAGATGAGAGAGGTAGAGTAAAGAGAGAGGATGCGGAGAGAGGATGAGTAGAATGATGAGACAGACAAATAGACAGTACAGACAACACGTAGAGCTGAGATGATGCATAACCGTACAGCCCACAAACTGACAAACGAGGGTACGTAGTAGACGAGACGACATGAAAGAGAGGAGAAAAGAAAAAAAGAGAGATGAGAGAGAGTAGATGAGAGGAGAGTAGAGTAGAGAGAAGAAGACAGTGTTACTGAGCATGATACTGAAACCAGACAGGACAATGAATGCATACGAGATCAGAAAGACATAAACTATACAGACGAGTAATAAACAGGATAAGTCGAAGAAAGAGAGCAGTATGGAAAAGACATAAGAGAGAAAAGATTAAAGCACAAAACCGAATCATATGCACCGAAGCCAGACTAGCATACTAAACGACAAGCTCGAAAGAACCAAGCTAGCGATGCCATAGATTGGACTGATCGTGAGGACGGCATCTCTCTTCCCAATTTCCCCCGCTGTTCTATTGACTGAGGAAGGGTGAAGAGAGAGACACTCTCCAATTCCCCGCTTCTATTGACAGGTGTTAAAGCACATATTCCTTTGTCAGGCTGGCGTGCAGTGCTCAGATAACGAATCCCCCTTATTTATTTACCGGAGTGGGTCTGTATCATTTTGCGACTCTTTATGCAAATACCGAAGCTGCATTTGAATGTCTTACGGCCAACACTAAGGCCCCGTGATACTGAAGGATCTACCGGCAACACTAATAACAGTATTATCGCTTTTGATGTAATAAGAATGCAGGTGTGAAGAGTTTTTCTTCTCTCTTCTTATTTATATTATATATAATATATATATTATAATATATATATAATATATATAATATATATATTATATATATATATATATTATAATATATATATATATAATATATATATATATATATAATGTATATTATATTTCTTTTATATTATATATCTTTATATTTATTTAATAGGATTATCCATTCTATCTATTTAGAAGGAGAGGGGATGGTGAGGGAGGGAAAGGGGATGGGAGATAAGGAGAGGGAAAGGGTGGAAAGAAGAGAGAGAGAGAGGGAAAAGAAAGAGAAAACGAGAGAAAAGAAACCACACACCACACACAATGACACACACACA